GAAGCCCCAAATCACCCCAACAATCACATGCAACAAACCTATCTTATCATCAACAAACTCAGAATCACAACAACATAACAATTCAGTTCATCAGAACCTATGGGGTTAGGGAAATCCCCTTCTACCTAGAATTCATGCAATTACCAGTTTCGACCCGATTCTCCCCCTCCCTTACCTTGATAACTCGATCAGATGATGAAACTCTTCGAAGAATCGATAGCTTAAGCTCTTCTTCTTCTTCCTTGATTCTTCTCCTTTAATTTCCTTCTAATTGGCCTTGTTCTTCTTCTTCCAATTCCTCTCCTTCCTTCACGTGTTCTTTCTTCCCTTCCCACTCTTGCCAAAAATACCCCTTATTCCAAATTCCTCTTATTTATTAATAATAATAATATTAATAATAATAATAATTAATAATAATAATAATAACAATACTATTATTAATTAAATTATTATGACTAAATATTATTACTAATACCAAAGTCCATAATTATTAAATAAACTCCAACTCAAGGGCTACTCACCCCGCACTCGAACACACTCCCACAAAAGCACTGCAAACAAAATAACACAGAAAAACTAGATAATTAAAATGGGCGTTACACTATGTACATCCCAAAATTTGCATGGTCGGGATGATGCATCAAGAAAAAGGAAGGATTCGAGACTTCAGCATCTCACTCTTACAAGCATTACGCTTGGGGCTGAGTATATCCCGAAATTTGCAAGGTCGGGATGACGCATCAATAGACGATAAGGACTCGAGGCTTAAGCGTTTCACCCTTACAAACCTCACACTTAAGAGGTTGCGTACATCCCAAAATTTTCATCCTGGTTATTGAGAATAATAATACACGAATAAGAAAGTCAGACCCAGACGAAGGGAAATGAGCAGTAGGATACCACCCAATAGGAGAATGAGCCCAACCAAAGAGAAACACGATCCTGGAAAGTCTTCGACATGCTGTTAGCAGACAAAGTATTTATGGACATTTATCATGTGACATCAACATGTCTAGATGTTCCCCCTTAACATAATAATTATCAGATAAATTAACTATTATGATACTTGATTAACACTAAATCGCATTTGTATCCCTTGTCCCATATCAAACTTGAGAAAGAAGTATATAAAGGTGGACAAGAAACCAAATAGAAATATTCAAGTCAGACGAGGAAGGTTGATGCTTAGATCAACAAAATAAAAGTAAATGATCGTCTTCAAACGAAAGGTTGATGCTTAGATCGACAAAAAAGTAAATGATCGTCTGTAACTAAAAAATTGATTTGTAGATCGACAAAAAAGGAATGACTGTCTTTAACCGAAAGGTTGATGCTTAGGTCAACTCAAAATTAAATTATTGTTTCAATTGAAAGGTTGATGCTTAGATTTATAGAAAAAGTAAATGATCATCTTCAACTGAAAGTTTGATGCGTAGATCAAGAGAAAAAGTAAACGTCTTCAACCAAAATGTGGATTCTTAGATAGACAAAAAAAATTAAATGATAGTATTCAAATGAAAGTTTGATGCTTAGATCTATAAGAAAATAAATGATTATCTTCAACTGAAAAGTTAATGCGTATAGCGACAAAAAAGTAAATGATCATATTCAACTAAAATTTTGATGCTTAGATCAACAGGAAAAGTTAAGTGATCTTGGTGCCAATTGATATTGGTATTTGAAGGGAGCCATTGAAAATGGGGATTTGGATATTGACAATGAAAATTGGCCTTTAGGTAGATGCCAATAAAAATTGGGATTTGGGTGCCTGGTATTTTTCTTCTTGTATTACATGGCTTTTAAATTTTTGACACAAGTGTGATGCTAGATTCATGCACGTTGTCAATATATTTTTCTTCTTGTATTACACGACTTTTAAATTTTTGACACAAGTTTGACGAGATTAATGCATATTGTCAAGATATTTTTCTGCTTGTATTACATGGCTTTTCAACTCTTAAAGTTGTGAAAGCTAGAAAGAGTGAAAACTCGCATAGTCCCACGCTTAGCATTTTAGAGTATCATTTTATATTAAAAGGGAACAAGAGTAAGTCTTGAGATAGTAATATATTCACACCGTGTCACAAAAAATATTTTAAAACCTTCTCAGGTTTTATTAAAATTCTTAAAAACAATCAAGGAAAGTATGGAATCGATTAAGAAGCGTTTGTAATCAATTAGGAAGCTAACTCACTACCTAATATGTTAAGGACTAGGTCAAATCGATTAAAGAAAAGAGAATCATTTTATAACCGATTAAAAAAATCCATTAATCAATTAAATCGTATAATTGTTTTAGGGTTTCCTATTCTATATTAGGGTTTTTGCTTTTGGGGTGGCTTAATCGATTAAAACACCCTTTTAATCAACTAACTCATTTATTATGCCCTTGGATTATTTTCTTTTTTGAGCTAGATTTTTTTATATAAAGAAGTTTCTCCTCATTTCATTTTAAACCTGATTTCTTAATAGAAACCTCTCTATTATTTTTCTACTCTTTTTCTTTATGAAATTCCTTTTACACTAGAATTTTCATAGTGTTGATAGATTGAAAAGCCCTTGTGATAATTGTGTTGTACTGGTGTTGCATTTAATATATTTTATCCAAGAATGTGATTCTCTTGTGTAATATATTTGTAAAGAATTTGAAGGTTACAAGTTAAACTTAGAAAAGTCTTGGGTGGAGGTTCTTGAGATAAGATTGGGTAAAAGTTTTGTTTCTTGTTGAAGGTTTATGGGCTGATCCTATAAAAGCTCAAGTTTTATTTTAGTGGAACGCTCAAGAGGAAACTCATGGAAACAAGAGTATGTCAAGTGGTTAAGCTGAATCTGCATAAACCTCAGGTGCAATCTCTTTGTCCATTCTCTCTTTATTTTCTGTTGTTTTTTTTTTCTTTTTGGTGCATATCCCTCTATTTATTTATATCTTCTATAATAAATGTTTTCAAAAAAAATTAATATCGAATTTCAAATATCACAATTCATGCTTTTCTGTGTTTGGTGTCACTTAGTAAACACATGGCCTCTTCACAAAAGGAGCTTTAATTAAAGAATGAGAATGCCATGATGGATCCAGGCGGCTAGAGGTACAAGACACAAATTTAGTGTCTCTATCACTAGGAAAATTGATCCATGAACTAACACTAGATAACTCTCGTAACTACCAAAAAATCCATTTCTACGAACCTCCAACGTACTCTCCTCGTATCCCATATCAAGCTTTGCAGACATTGAATCCACAACTCACACCTCTCAGCACCATTTCAGAGCTTTATGACCCTCTCTAATGAGTCACACTCTTGATTAAACACCATGAAAGAAGAAAGGAAAAACACAAAAGAAGCAGGGTATTACCTGGTGTCGTGAGCATTTGTTGAAGATTCGAGACAAAATGGAGAATTACGCAGAGATAATTGCTGCAAATTTGTTAGGTAAATTAAAGCAAAGAGATGAGAAAATTAAAAACGATAAAGGCTATTTATAGGATTTGAGTGACACAAAATGATAGTTGTATTTAAAGCTACCTTCTTAAGGTTGCAGGAGATAAAGATTGGTTATGAGTTGATCCTATTTCCAAGACATTTGGCCATCATCATAGCTTGGGTAAGTGGAACAATCATGCGACCAACACACATTGGTGGACCGTTGTCAGGGACCTCCACATCTAGAAAAGTTAGAGCAAGCTCACCCAAAAAGAGAATTCGTTAAGGCACGTCGGACAATTGCTAATCAGTATCGGGAAAGCATCTCGTCCTTACATGGTTCATGCTTGAGGAGTTATGTCCTTACACGACTTATGATTGATGGGTTGTGTACATGTTCACTCTCTTTGTATGTCGTAAGAAAGCATTTCATCCTTACACAACTCATGCTTGAGGGGTTGTATACATAAGGGTGTTCATGGGTGCGGATGGACCCACAAACTCATTGACCCAAATTAAACCAACTCATAAATTACCCGAATCCATTTATTTACGGGTATACCTAACCCAACATGCAACAACCCATATAATTTTGGTCCGGGTATCAGGTTTGAGTTTCGCAACCCGCAGTTCCATTGACCCAATCCATTGATGTGACATTAATAATTATTTATTTGTTATTATTATTTTAAATAAAAGTATAAAATTGATATCTCACTACTAGCTACAATTTTTACAATTTTTTTTTATTCTCTACCAAAAAATACTTTTAGACTAATTACTTTACGTAATTCTAAGACTAAATGTTGTTTCTTATTTTATTTTGCGTCATTTCCAACCTACATATTTTATGAAAAAACGTGTCTAGAGGAATTTATAATATTATTAAATGTTATGTCGTATTGATGAATTTTATTAGACATTTTATAATGTGTTTCATCAAATTTGAGTGTTAGAAATTAGTGTAATTGTATTAAATTGTGTTAATCTTTTTTTAATTGAAAAAAAATCATTAAAATAATATTTTTTATTTAAAATAACTCGCCGAATCCAACCCAACCCAACCCATAAATGAACGGGTTGATTCGAATCAATAAAATTGCGGGTTGGACGACAAACTCACACATTAAAGTTTAAATGAGTTGGATAACATGTTAGGTCAAACTCGGTCCAACCTAACCTGTATACACCCTTATGTATACATGTCTAATTTCTTGGGTCAGATTACCCCGACCGGCTGGGTTCAACGCGGTCCCAACAGAGCACCAATAATTGATAACTCATCTAGAAGAATAAGACTGAGTTGAAGCAGCAGATGGGTTAGGTTGGTCTGATGGGCTTTATTACATGCATGACAGATCAACATTACTATACAGTGAAAACAGCACAAGAAGAAAAACATACACATTTAACAAGAACATTTGATTCGACTCTGCCGCTGTATACTTTTACGAACACACTAGTCTAGTTAATGAATTTTCAAAAATTACATAAATAGAAGAGCATATACATGTTTGTAAACTCTGCCACTGATGTATAAACATCAATTGATAATTACGGCAACACATTAATATAAGATTAAGATACATATTTCTGTCCAATTTTAACAAATTTGGGAGAATTCATCGTGTGATTACTATTACTTGGTACAACAACAACACAACCAACTTTCTTCAATTCTTGAAATGCTTGTATAGTCTCATAATCAAAGCCACCTGCAAACTGAATGTCTTGATATGTGATGAGTTGGATAAAAAGGTAAATATCAATTCTACAAAATTCTGAGGACTGTTATTCTTATACCTGGTGTATTCTGAATGCAAACTTAACTCCTTGTAACAAAAGGCTATTATTATCTTCATGAGATTCCATTTCCTTAGTTACCCTTTTCATGAATTCCTTTGCAAGCCTCAATGAACTTAGCTTCATCTGCAATCAATAGACATAATAGCGAAGTGTATCTATGTCTGCGACTATAGAGCAATTATTGTTTCAGTGTTACAAGTCATATATATAATTCTTACCTGACCGATGAGGCCGGTATCCATCATCCACTCCCAAGGGATGTGAAAATTTCTATATTTCTTACTAGTAATCTCCCTTATCTTCTCTTTACTACTCACACTTCTCTCCAACCTGCAAAAATCCAAAAGTTTCACTTTCAATTAATTCTAAGTATTGCTCAAAAACTTAAGTTAAGCTAAACTCTACAATCTTTGTACATGCTCGCCTGTCTTGTAATGTTTGAATCCTTTTCAAAGCCATAGAAGTTGGCTCTTTAGGATTGTTCTCATAGGATGAAACTTCTGATTCAAGATTCTTCAGATCTCTATAGTTACAAGAAGCTTCTCTTAATGCATCAACTTTTTGTTCAGGCCATTGCGGAAAATGCTTAAGCACTGATCTTTCATCCACCAATGAAGATAACTCTCCATCTAGCCATTTGATGAATGTTTCGACTTCGGAAATATCTGCATAAGAAGCTGATTCTACTTCTTTGATCAAGAAACTTATGAATTCCTTCTGGCTTTGAACTTCTGATTTTATCTGTCCAAGAATATGAATGATTACATGTTTATAAACTCTTTTCGCCTAAGTTCTTCAAAATCGCTTTCGAAAATTTAACTAAATAAGAAAATTCAGAAGCTAAATATGACAAGTTTGTAACTATACTTACAGCTGAGAGATAACTAGACCGATTTTCGATTTCCTCAATCATATTTCTGGTGAATGCTACTGCAGGAATTCCATTATGATGAGTTTTGCTTTCCATGTTAGCGTCTTTTCGTGTAAGCGAGCGATACAATTCAATAACTTCAGGCACACGGCGAACCACTTTCAAACCGAGCAATGCTTTCGACGGCGAGGGAGGTGGTGGAGGCGCGATTGCAGGCAGCATTTTGTTTCCGTTTTCATAACTTTTAGGCTTTGGAGGCGGAGCCGGTGGTAGAACTATCGACGTTCTTTCCTTTCTAGGCGAATCCGACGAGTCTTGAAAGTTCTCATTCTCAAAATTTTTTTCACACATGATTGCTTGAAGTGCTGGTTTGAGTTTCTGATGCGAATCTGAATTGTCATCATCTATGGATTTCTGAATCTTCTTCCATAGGATAGTCTTTCGCTCGATATTATGCGCTTTGAGCGAAACTATCTGCGATTTTAATCGCGCAACTTCTTCTCTAAGCTCATAGTTTTCCTTCTGTAACACTTCGTTTCTGGCCATATGAACTTCAAGTCTTTTTTTGAGAGGAGTTGTGATATCAGACTCAATCTCTACCTTGAGCATTTTCTCACTTTTTTTATGTTATAAGTTGTGTGATTTTTGTGATATAAGTAAGGTTGGTAATTTGGAATTAATTATGATTTTTTTGTAAGAAACTTTAAAAGTGATTTTGGAGATTACTTTGGTTTGATGGCATCAATAGTATGTGAAAGGTGCATTTAGAGTGTGATGTTAGGTACAGCCATAAATTTGTTGGTCAAATTAATGCTTCTGTTCTAAATTAATATATTTCTGAGGTTAGAGATTTCTTCTTCTCTAATTTGTTATTATGTCAAAATTTTGGGAGTGATTAGTGGTATGTTTATAATGTACAAGTTGCTTAAGTGAGTATTTATATGATTGTTTCATTTTCTATTTTTTATTATTTGATTTAGAATTATATAGTTATATAGTACATGTGATGTGTGGCCAAAAAGAAAAACTGGTTGGTATATTGAATGGTTAAAAGTACTAACATACCTAGATTGAACTCTTTTTCAATGTGTTTGGTTTTAGTGTGGAAAGTATGAAATTGATTTTAAATTTATATGTTAAAAGGGACACTGTATTAGATCTAAACCGTTTGATCTCAAATCGACAATTAATATTATTTTATTTATTAGTATAAAGTTTAAATATAGATTAATTTATTTTAAATTAATTGTGTTCATCAAATACACACAAAATTTCTCATGTCCAAGTGTATTTTGTTGAAAGGGAGTGTGATTGAGTCAACATAGCTTCATTGTGATAGTTGTCTTTCATTTCACACCCATTGCACTTGTTGTGGTAGTTGAGTGGCATTTGGCTTATTCATTTCTTGTGAAACAATGGACAAAAAAGAGGTAGGAAAATGTGTCTCATTCATTGAGGTTCATGGAAGAGTAAATATATTTTCACAAAGACAACTACCTTGTACCAAACTAGATTCTTATGATATCTACATATTTATTCTATGCTTTATTTTTCATATTTTCAAAGGCTCTTATAATCTCCTTTATATTTCTTTCTTTCATCCTACTCCTTCTAGAGTTGAATATTAATTACCACCCCTCACCTCATTTTCACAACCGAAAGTGTAAAGTTATGTAGATTGGTTTTTGTCACATGTTTGAGTACTACTATACTTTGGGTGAGAACAACGTGATTGGTTATTCCAAGTCCTTATAGTGTTTCTTCATACCTTTATAACAAGTCCTTTCATTCTTGTTAAAAGAAAAAAATATCTTTTTATTGCAAGTTTATTAAGAATTTTAGGTAATATTAATTTAAATTTCTTACTCTTATTGAAAAATGATTAAAAACCAAGATTTATGTTAATTGAAAAATAATTAACATGTTAAGAATAAAATAGTTAAATAAAATTGAAATTATTGAATGTTTATTTAAGATTTTTTTTTTAATATTATAAACAATGCTGAGAGAAACAAAGAGAAATTTCACTAAAAGATGTTAAACAACTCTAAAATTTACGTTTTCAATTATTTTGTTGATGATGATTATATTCATTAATTATATATTAATAACATTGACATAAACGAATTATTCATGATCTTTCTAAATAGTAATACCTTACCACCATTTATCATTATCATGGTCTTATAGAACTCGAGCTTATTAATTAACATATTTAGATCATTACATTCCACCAATCTTAGAAAACCATCTTGTCCTCAAGGTGCGTTGAGAAACCAAATCAATTGATAAAAAAAATTAAGATTTTTTTACGACACCCTTAATATTTCTACTGTACCATGTAAAATTTCACAAATGTCATTTGTTTCGAAAATATATCTTCGGACGCACCCAAATGTAAGTGAACATTGAAATATTTCGGAGATATATTTTTGAAACATTTTGGAGCATAAGTCACGTCAGACTCTTCTCCTTCCTCATTTAATAATTTTCTTAAAAAACATAATTTCGAAAACTCAATACATTTCCCTACACCAAATCAAATTTCATCAAACAAGATTCAAAGGAACATCAAGCTTCATCTATAACATCATTCAACTTCATCAAAACCATCAATTTCAAGTAAGTTTTTTGAGTTTTCGGTAAATGTTTGAGTTTTAGCGTAAATGAGTAGAAATTCATTATTAGGGTTAGAATGTGTAGAAATCACATATAACTTGTTTGTTGACTGAAATGGTGATTAGAACATTTTTTTCAACTTGCATGTGATACATTCTCCATTGACGCGACTTCTGAGTTGTAGAACATTTCAGAGATGCATTTTCGGAATTTTTCAGTGTTTCATATACTTCAGGAAATTCCGGAGATGCATCTCCAGAATTGTGCAACATTTTAGTTTAATGGTGCTTCTGGAGATGCATCTCCAAAATATTTCAACGTTTTTGTTTCTCGTTGCTTTCGGAGACACATCTCTAAAATTTCATGTAGTATATATATATATATATATATATATATATATATATATATATATATATATATATATATATATATTTTTAAACTATCTTGCTTATGTTTGTGGTGTTTGTGTGCACTAATGATATAACTTAGCAAGTTCCACAAATCTGGCAGCGTACTCAGTAACAGTCAAATCTGAGGACATGCATTTTAACAGCTATGTTGATCACCGTTAGTTCCGGTCCTTTGACGAGATAATGTTATACTCTGGATGGTTGGCCTGCGGATCGCATACACTGTACCTTATCTACCAGAGCGCGTCATGCGGGAGTCCGACTATGTTCAGATCATTCCCAGACACCCTATTGTCTCTGCTCCTTCTGCCTTGACACATAGGCAGATAAAGGAGATGCTTAATGATTATGAGAGTCATATGGTACCGGAGGAGGCACGGACTACCATAACCCCGAGCGAATGGAGCTACGACAAAGGGTACATCAGATGGTTCTTTAGGGTATCACGTTTGTACATGGTGCAAGCAGCTCCAAGAGATCTGCCAAGACCAGCTCATCAGGAGATACTAAAGAAGGAGCAGACTCAGCTAGATTATACTAATGATGTCTTGCCTAGGTGTCATCGGATAATGGAGATTGTGTGGGGTAGGCATTAACGAGGGTATCTTTCTTGATGGGTCTGGTGTCAGACGAGTCCTATATGCCATCATGGTGAAGGCACAGAGGACATTGTTGTACAGGAGACATCGCCGAAGGACGTGAGGATTGATGACCGGTAAGGTAGAGCTGGCAGAGGAGATAGAGAAGATGTTGTCAGACACACACAATAGTACTTTCTTATTATTTTGTTGTAGTACTATACTTTGTACTTTATTTTGACTGTCTTTTTACATTTTGGATCTTGATTGTACGACATTTTCTACATATGTATTGCTATTTTATTTTCGACACACATAGTAGTAGTCTCTTATTATTTTGCATTTCTATTTTTTTATTTATTTGCGACCATGCGTTATACTTCATCTGAACACGGATAAACAACTTATAGCATTAAATACCTGCTCTGATACATATTAGAGATGTATATCTGGAATATTATCGGAGATGCATCTCCAGTACAATTCCAATGTAAATGACTTCTGAGTTGGTTGTATTGAATGTTTAAAATTGTTCTAAAAATACATCTCCGAAATATTTCAACGTTTATTGAAAAATAAGTGCATCCAGAGATACATCTTTAAAATCTAAGGACATTTAAATAATTCCACGAGGTGGCTTAATGTTAAACTATAATGTTAAATGGTCCAATTTGAGAATATCCCATCAAGAACAAAGTTCACATTAATCAAGCCCATTTCCCCTTAAATTCTTCTATAACAAACAAAATTAACACCAATCTAGTCCATTTCCACTTAAATTCTTCTATAACAAATTGTTGAACTTGATGTTATATATTTACCTCATAACATCCCTATTTTTATTATATTATCTATGTTTACCCCATAACATTCCTATTTTTATTGAGTTACTAAAATTCTCATTAGAAAGTAAAAAAAAATGATACAACAATATTTTTAATCCAAACTTCTCTAACTTAATCAAAATAAGATTACCAAGGTGAAAAAAACATTATCGAAAATAAACACATGGAGAAAATATAAGAAACTAATGTTATGTTTGAATTGATGGACTAAAACAGAGTAGAGTAGAATGAAACTTAATAAAATGGAGTGCAATGGATAAGAGATTCCATTCTATTATTTGAGTATTTTTTATAATTTGACGGAAAGGAACATAACAAATTAGTTCATTCCATTGCATACATTTCAATTTGGGTGGAAAGAAAATTGAAGGATTTTATAGAATATGATAAAATGAATTTCATCATGTTTTATTCTATTCTATCCATTATTTATAAATTTAAATAACGAAGTCTGTGTATTTACTATTCCACTTCATTTTATTCCATCTCATACCACTAATTCAAACATATCCTAAATGTTGACTAATTTGTTGAATTCTTCAATAAACCTATATTTAACTTTTACCATTGCTTCCATGTAGGTTGGTACGCAAAACCACAACTTTTTTATTAGATAAGGATGCTTGTCATAAATTCATACTCTATGTCGAGAAATTGGACCAAACATTTTTCCGATGTTTTTCTCAACTTTTCTATGAAATTTTCAAAAGATTAATCTATTTGTTACTCTCTCTGTTTCAAAATAATTGTTGTCAATTATATTATCATAAGATATTATATTTTTACTAAATTAGTCTTATTAATATATTGAAAATAATATACAGAGTAATAATTATATGACACAATTGGAAAAATAGCAATTATCACTACATTAAAAAGTGAGAATGACATTCATTTTTTTAAAAAGTGAGAATGACATTCATTTTGAAACAAAAATTTTCCTTTAAAATGACAGTCATTTTAAAACGGGAAGAGTGTTACAAATTAATCAAATTGGTTGTCATAACTTTACATAAAGTCAATAAAATATTTCATGGAGAACTTTTTCATGTCTTTCTGGATTTGCATTGAGTTTGGTGGTAAAGAGGATTTCCATGTAAACATTGATCATGTCAAAGATAACACATGTTTGAGAATGGAATAACACATATCAATAC